TCCGGTTCTGGAACCACACCTGGGAGGAGAAGGGCTCTGAGGACCGCGCGCGCCGCGCAGGCAGGGCCCCCTTGGGGAGGGTGACCCCTCTCGCTGGCGGGTACCCTCCATCCTTGTGTTTACAGTAAAATAAATGGCTCAGCAATGAACTAAGCTATCACAGTCACACCATTTTTTTTTTTGGAAGCGGGGACAATAAAATAAAAATTAATGTGAGAGCAACAGCCCTTTGGGCTTGGCTGTAACCCTGCCTGCCTGGCATCTTCCTCTCCTTTGCCATCTGGGCACTTGGGTGGAAGAGGCTAAGATGCTTTTACCTTCACAGACCCTCACTGAACTTCAAGAATAAATTTCCTCCCTACTATAAAAATAACATATGCTCATTGCTGGAGACAGAAGAGTGCAGAAAGTACCCCCAAAATCAGAATAATAGGAAGAGGCTCTTAGACTCCGTGCTTCCTCTCCAGCAGAGTTAATATTGCGGGGAGGGGCTGCTGGGGTAGGGGACTGGCTGGGGATGCAGGGCCCTGAGGGAGCCCAGGCTGGGGTCCCAACCTGCTCCTGTATTTCTCTCTCCCCTAAGCCCGTCGTCTTGTAGCAAAGTCAGGCAGCTCCATCAAGGCTCAGAGATTTCTTCTTTGATGTCCGCACGGAATGCCCCTTGGGGCCTCCGAGTTGCCAAAGTGGCCCCCAGGAGCCTGAGGGGGGAGAAGCCGGCTTCCCCACCCAGTTTGGGCCAGAGACGTGCAGTTTGAAAGGGGGAGTCCTCCCTAAGCCTTGCCCCAGGCTGGGCAGTGAGGCTCAGACATCACGGGCAGGCGTGGAGAGGAGTTACCTTCCCTTTAAAGTTTGGTGAATCAAGGTCAGCTCGTTTGGCAGGCTGACGGAATAGCCTGAAGCCAGTTCTGATCTGGCCCAGAGGCTGCCATCGGCTCTTGAAATTTCTAGTGACCGTGCGGAGGAGGGGAAGGCGTGAGGCTGGTGTCATTTAATTCAAGTTTGACTCTCTGTGCTCACTTACCAGCCAGTGATCTGGAGCAAGAGGGTTCGGCTGAGTAATGAGACCCACCTCCAGCTTGCTGTGAGGTTTAAGCGGGTTGTTACACATAAGGCTCTCAGAACAGGGCTCAGTAGATGACGGCCATTTTGATGTTATGGTAATTATGACCATCTCCACGGTTAGGTGGGCAGGTGGTACCTAAACACCAGGATGACCTCCCACTGAGCTGGGAGTGGCCAAGAGAGGGGGCTGCCTCTCTCCCAAGCAGTGGCATCCTGTCATGGCCTGCTCCTCACTGCAAGGCAGATACCTTGCTTCTCCTGCAGACTCACCTTGACCTGCGACTCGGTCATCCCCAGCGAGTATGCCAGTCGCGCCCTCTCAGGGCCAGCCAAGTACTTGGTCTGCTCAAAGGTCTTCTCCAGGGCAAAGATCTGGTGTCCCGTGAAGGTGGGCCGGGTGTGCTTTTTCTTGTGGACGCTGTCGCTCAAGGGGTCTGGGGCTGGCGAAGGAAGTGTGTGGTTAGTGGAATGAATGGGGGTGACAGCTCTGCCCTGCCTCCCCCATAGGGTGAACTCCCTACAGAAGAGCCACTGAGGTGGCCAGGGCATCGTGGCACCTCTCGCCTGAACCCTGCCATGTCTGGGTGCCCCGGGACCCCAAGAGAAGCCTGCCCCAGGTTTTAGCTTATTAGGAGCAGAGGGTGCTTTGAACCAGGTCTCATGCCTCCCTGTGTAACACTCTCACTACTCAATGATGCTGCCATCCCCCGAGGGGGCAATGGAGTTTCCTCCAGGACTCAGGGATGTCCCTTCATGTCACCAAGAAATGGATTTGGTACCTGCCACCAACAATCAAGGCCCCGGGGGCATGGGAATTCCTCCCCACTCCAATCCCTGACTCTTGGGAGCCCATTTTCAGGTTCCTGGGAAAACCAGAGCCCTAAGTTCCAAGTTACTGCTCCCCCTTGTCACCAGGCCTGAAAGTCATGTGGCTTCGACAACACTGGAGAGTCAGGACGTGGAGGCTCAAGACCCGAGCTGGCCCGGCCGGCCAGGGCAGCCGCTCGGGGAGGTGGGGGGTGGGCGGCTCGGGGGAAGCACAAGGCCCAGGTGCTGGGCCCCGTTCAGTGCAGCCCACGACCCACGGCCCGTGTCCTCCTGTTACAGGAGGTGCAGAGAGGAGAAAAGACCTCTGGCGAGGCTGTCACCTCCAGTCCCCTCCCCTCGTGTTAATTCAGCCACTGACTCTCTCTGATATTTCCCTGTGTATGTACGTGCATTCGGGGTTGAAGAGCGGGGTGTGGAGATGGGGTGTGTGTGTTGGGGGGACATGGGGGTGAGAGAGAGAGAGCTTGAGGCCCAAAGCGCCCCCAGAACCAGCTGATAAAATAGGTTTAAGAGGGGTGCCAGGGCCCGGAGCTGTGTAGCGGACGCGAGGCAGGTGTGCTTCAGGATTTCCTCGTTTGGTCCAAGCCCCTGCTGCAGTGGGGGAGCCCGG